TGTGTGTGTGTGTATACATATATATATATATATATATATATATATATATGATTTAAGTCATTTCTTCTATTTCCGTTTATCCGTAATTTTTAAAGAAGATTTATATATTTTTTATCTTGTTGTTTTAAATTTCAAGATAGCAAACGCATTAACAATGTAAAAAGATTTACACAGTGGTTCAATCAAAAAATTGTATATCCTTTTGTTTTATTACTCTGTCTCACAATAAGTATTAAGGAAAAGTATCATTTTAGTTTTTCAATATTGTATTAATTATTTCTTTTTTATTTATACTACAAATAATATTATGTAAAAAGTGATTTTATATATTTATTATTTTTTTTATGTGTAATATAATTTAGAGTGACACTTATTATAAGATGGGAGGAGTATATTTTTTTATTTATATCTTCTCATAATATTCTTTAAAAAGTGATTATTGTGGAATTTTTTACTCAAATAATATATTTTTTAAAAAAATTTACCTAAATAGTAACTTTGCAAATTTATTTTCCCAACTAGCATCATTTACTGTTCACTTTTTTTTTATAATTTTTTTCATGTTTTGGAACGGCCATTCTGCTTGAACATACGTTAATTTTGCATCTGAAACGGTCCGTTCCAGAGTCAGAACGGGCTGTTCTAAACTAGGTTTTTAGGCCTTTATAGAAGTTTAGAATAGACCGTTCTAGTTTTGGAATGACCCGTTCTGGGGAAGAGGGGAATGTTATATTTAAAAGGTTATTTTGGACCTTTAAATCATGCATTAATGGTTTTGCCTTCTACAAACTAGTTGTTCAAGTTGATGAAACCTTTTTATATGACAAATACAAAGGTACATTATTGGTCGCAGTTGCGCAACATGGTCGCAACAACATAATTCCTGTTGCATTTGTTGTTGTTGAAGGTGAAACTAGCGATGCATGATTTTTTTTTCTTAAGAACTTAAGGCGGTATGTAACATTCCAAGACGGGTTGTGCCTAATTTTTGATCTTCGTGAGACTATTCGAAGTGCATACTCAAGAAATGGAAGTGGTTGGACAGAAAATAATTTTGTTCATGTCTATTGTATTCGACACATTGTACAAAATTTCATGCAACGATTCAAAAATGCAATACTGAAGAAGGATGTCGTCAACATGGGTAATTTTATCATTACTTTTTTTTAAAACATTTAATAATTAGTTTTTATTATTTAATTTTTTTTTTTAGCCTATGGGATGACTGAACCTAGATTCTTTTACTATTACAACATAGTAAGTGATACTAATGCTAAAGCAACCCAATGGTTAGACAACATTCCTAGGGAAAAATGAACACTAGCATGAGACAATGGACGACGTTGGAGACACATGACAACAAACCTAACTGAGTCTATTAATTCTATATTGAAGAAAACACGAAATTTGCCAATTTGTTCCATGGTAATAGCCACATACACTCGTTGCAACAAGTTTTTCGTTCAAAGAGGCAGGGAAGTGGATGCAATGATTAATGTTGGACATGTCTACTCGAAAATTACAACTAAAAATATTCAAGATGCACAGTCCAAGGCAAATACTCATAGAGTTATCACCTTTGATAGATCAAGCACTAGATTTCTAGTAG